CAATTAACAGGAAAACAATTGGACCAAATAGCTCATCAACAATTGACAACTTTCTTCTTTTTCTTCTTCATCTTCTTTTTGAACATATTCTGAGCATATTCAGGAAATACGTGATATTTTATACATGGACTGACATCATCAAGAAAACAATATTCAAAAAGCATAATTATTCAAAAGACAGTGGTCATTTGAATAATAAGCTTCTGATTTGTCAGATGTAAAGAAACGTATATCTACGTCAAATCTACGTAAAACCGGAGTGTTTACTTAACCTAACCTAAATGATAATGGGCAAGGATTCTTCATATCCCAAACAAAAGTATTTTTTCCCTGATATGAGAGCAAAATCGCCTCTGACCCAGACATTGCAAGGTTTTGCCCTTAAGAACTACAGAATCATGAACTTTGCACCTATTATGTTGTCTGCTAACAATATCAGACCTACAAGAGGAAAGCCTTCTATATAACAGGCCTTTCTAACATCCTAATAAAATATTACTTAAAAGATAAATCCATAAAACCAGGAAAAAAATATGAATATGAATAATCAAAAAGAAAAAAACCTATATAAAAATCTTTATATTCCCATTCATACTATATTCTGGGTTGACATTTTTCTCTCCCCCCTTTATTTGTTCATTTTCACACCCTCCGGCACCAACCAGCTAGTAAGAAAGCAGGAGAAACTCTTGAAGCAGCCCATGATACGGCTGCAGGGCACTTATTGCAGGACTTTTACTCATTCTTTGGATGGAAGAACTCCTGGGGACCCTGTGGATAAGCCACTTTGATTTCCTTGCGAGGAGAAAGGTGGGAAAGAAGAAGAAAATGAAAAAGCAAACCAAGTTTACCTCTGACAGTCTCCTCCCCTGCCCCTTCCCTCCACTCTGGCTTGACAGTGGCCAGAACGGCAAGTCTGAACTTCAGTTGTGATGCCTGTGTGGTGGCAGAATGGAAGAAGACACGCCCTGCCACTGTTCTGTTTCTTCAGGGGTTATTCCCATTCCACGTGTGTTTCACTCCATCTAGTGGCTGAGTTGATAATCACACAGGTTTATTTCCAGCATATTGCCTATAAAATGAGAATGCAGAAGAGCCCTCCTTTTCATCTTCATAATTTGACCGACAGACTTCTGTGCCGGAAATCACTGAGTCCTGCTGGCATTATGACCACAATATTGGAGAAGGTGGATCAGAGCAAGTTCACACTGTGGGGGTCCCTTCTAGGAAGGAGAAAAGCAAGCTATCCCTCCCTGTCACTCCTCTTTCCACAACTTTCTAAGGCTGTTCTCTGTGGGAGTGCAGGAGGTCTTGAACCTGGGTGTGACGACCTCTTCTCTGGGGAGGTCTGGTTTTACTTTAAAACCGTTCTTTATATTTTGCTCTACTGGGTAATCTGGCTGCCACCAGGAAATTTTAGGCTTTCCAAACCTTTATACTTTCTTCTTCTGGTTTTGGTATTGTGACCCAGGGTCTGGGCTTTCGAGGAACTATGTGTTTCCTGAGGAAAAATGGATCAGGCTTCTGGGATAAACTTAAATAAAAAGGATTTATTTGAAGAACAGAGTAAGAAGTTGTTTAAACTGTAACTGTTTTGGAAATAGGTATTTGTAAGTACTTTAGGTCAACTGTATCACACTCTTTGTAACTTTGACTCTTTTTAAGAACTGTAGATTCACTTTACAGATATAAGCTCCTTTCTCTCTCACACTGTCATGGCACAGCACTTTCAGTTATTTCTCAGGGATTTATGCATATAACTTTGTAACACTCATTCATATAATGAACTAACTCGTCCTACACAGGGATGGGTCTCTCCTCTCTTACACAGAACTTAACCGTCTTCTTAACACAGAGACTTTTACTCTTATATTCCACACAGGAAAACTTCTCTCACAGAAACCTCAGGACAAAACTGCTTAACTAACTTCCACTGTCTGCATCAACTGTCATATCTCCTAACAGACACTCCTGATAGACATTTAAATCATCCACACAGCATCCATTCCAAAACCCCTCCCCCTCTCTGTCACTCACCAATCATATCACTTGCCTGTTTCCAGCACTCTAGAGTATCATCACAGTCATACAAACCAAACTTTTAAAGACACACACACAAATAAACATGAAATCGTTACACCAGGACTCCAGTGGTTGGACCCAGTTGCCTTATTCCTCGGGTCACTGGGATAGCTTGCAAACAGAGGGAATTGCATTCCTATGTATGGTGCCTGTATGTTTTTCTGCCATGGGCAAAGAGGCGATTGAGATCCGGAAAATAGAATGGGGAAGGAAAGGCTTAATTTCCTCTCTCTTAGCACTACAGCCATGATCCAGAGTATCCCCCCTCCTCAGTGGGTGCTTTAGTTCTAATCTTTGAAAACACCATGGGAGATCCTAATCATGCATCTCCTGGGTCATATCTAGTTTGGTCTTAGTTATTGGACAACAAGAATGTGGTGGTAGATGGAACAGCAAAAGAAAACTGACAGCACATATCTCTGACTTCAAGCTCTTCCGCATTCTCAATTTACTCGCCAGAAAGTTCCTGTTTCTTCAGGGTGTTTTCCCTGTTCCACATGTGTTTTGCTCCATCTAGTGGATGACTTGATAATCACACAGGTCTATTTCCAGCGTATTGCCTGTAAAATGAGAATGCAGAAAGAGCCCTCCGTTTCATCTTCATAATTTATTTTATTTATTTATTTATGTTTGGATTTATATCCCTCCCTACCCCGAAGGTTCAGGGCGGCTGACAAGGGCACCATGTGCCAATGTTAAAACAATAAAACACATAATATAAAACAATAAATTGCAATAAAATACAGTAACAAATTTACCAAATTACAGTACAGATTTAGCCAAGATGGGTAGAGCTTAACCTCCCTGATAACTTCCTGAGATCTTGTCATCCAATCCAATAATTTGATGAGCAGACTTCTATGCCAGAAAATCGGCATGTCTTGCCCCTGCCTGGTTTTTTTTCAAGCGTTGAATATATGGTCATGTGTTACTATATTAATCATTACAGGGCTTGATTTCTGGGGGAACGTGCCGGAATGGAGTTCTGGAACCTCTTCGATAAAATTATTTTTAAAATGTTTAAAAGTTCATGAGTTTTCAGTATACAGATTGAAAACATCGTTTCCCTCCTGAGAGTTCCGGCACCTCTTTTGAAAGAAAGAAAAAAAGCCCTGATTATACAAACAGAAATGATTTTTTAAAGTACAAAAGTGCTCCAAGAATTGGAGGGGAAGGTTTCTTGGGGCACCAGCTGGTCTGCTCTGTGTACAGCAGGCTCTTCTTGCTGACTTGCAAAACTTTTTTCTGGACCAGGAAAGAGTAAGATAGATACCTTATGACTTTCACATCCGCCTTACGGCTCTCAGTACATCTCATCAATCTTTGCTCAGAGCATCTTGATTTATAACTTTGTTTTCTAATGTATTCAGCCCACTTTCTGGTCAGTTTGTCTCCCGGAGGGGTCACATCAATAAAGCGAGATAGACCTTGCCCAAAGGCTTACAAGTTCAGATGACACACCAAGGAAGGGGTGTGGAGGGGAGATGAGTGCGGCTGAGTTTATATCCAGTTAGACCAGGCTGATCTGCCCTTGCTGGTGTTCTTGCTTGGTTGGAAGAAGTTCAGGGTGTTTCTTCTCTTCATTATTGTTGGGGAAATAGGCAAAAATACTTAAATACTCAGAGTTTCCAATGGATCTTTGCTTCACTAGAGAGGAGACATGTCTTTCTATGTAAAAAGCTTTATTTCTAATGGAAGGGTTCACATGGGAAGCTACAAAACAAAAGAGATATCTAGAGCTACATCTTACATCATTACAGCACAGAACACATGGTCACACAACAATGGAGATTCTCCTTCTTGACATCTATAAGGAAGTCTCCTGAAACCAGTAACCAATGATTACTAGTAAACAGCCTTAGATTTTCCCGGGCTATCTTCCCATTGGCTCTGAGCCAAGTTTCCCTTCCAGGTCAGTCTAAACAATAGTAAACTAGGTAAAGCAGATTAACCCTATAATGACTGAAATCTAGACCTTGCACCTCACATATTTCCAACAATTATTGTATTAATTGTAGGAACTGTAGCCATGAAGACAGCCTTGCTAATCTAAAACAGTTGCCTCTCTTTGTTTTTAAGTAGTTTGTTAAAAATTGTAAATATGAGTGATTTATGCTGGACTTTGTTCCATGTTATATTTTGTTCCATGTTATATTTTTTAATGACATTTCTCTTTTGGTATAGTGAGCTGTGTGAAAATTTGCCAAGTCCACATACAAGCCTTCTCTTAGGTGATGCTTATATGAATATTCAAGAGGTTAGTATAAAAAGATATTTTTTTCTGATGAAACTAGAGTAATTTAAAATAAAATGCAAATAGTGTCTTTTAAAAAATAAAATGCTGGATTTAAAGCCGGTTTTTAAATGAACTGAAGCACTTTAAAATACTGGGAAAGTGATATGTAAATGTTTATTTTTACTGTTTAACAAAGCTTGAGTCCAGGGGCACCTTTAAGACCAACAAAGTTTAATTCTGGGTATAAGCTTTCATGTGAACGCACACTTCTTCATATACATTGAAACAGACTTTGTCAACCATTACATGGGGGGAGTGTTTATATACCAGTAAGGGCTAATTGAAGTCAAGATATGTAAGTAACTGAGTAATAAGTGTAGTGTATTAAAGCAGTTAATAAAACCTGTGAATAGCAGCAAATTAGTATACAGATAATAAAAGAGTTAACAGATGCGAGAACTGAGTGATTTAGCATGTATAGTGAGATAACCCAATATCTCTGTTAAGCCCTGTGGGTTCTATTATTCTGAGTGTTGTAATAACTTGTAATTCTACAATCTCCCATTCTAGTCTGTTTCTGAAATTCCTTTGCAATAAAACAGCTGGTATGAGGTCCCTTGTTGAGTGTCCTGGGAAGCTGAAATGTTCTCCTGCAGGTTTCTCAGTTTTGTGGTTCTCGATGACAGATTTGTGTCCTTTGGTGTAGAGTTTGACCTGTTTGCTTTATGTAGAGAACTGACGGGTATTGTTGGCATTTAATGGCATATACAGTGTTAGAAGATGAGCAAGCAAATGAGCCTGAGAAGGTGTACCTGGTGTTCTTGAGTCCAGTGATTGTGTTGTCTGGGTGTTGTTATTACTACATAGCTGTTGTTATTACTACATAGCATAGGAGCAAGATTCGAGCCATTACCACCTTAGAGACCAACAGGATTTTCGGGTATAAGCTTTTGAGTGTCAACGCTTCCTTTGTCAGATACAAGTAGAAATGGAGATCTCTGAGCCTTATATTCCAGTCCCACCTTCTAACTGGGATATTTATTTGTTTATTTATCTGCATTGTTTAGACTCCACCTTTTTCACAGGGACTCAATGTGGATTACATCGGGTGAGTCAATACTGGGACAATCAATAAACACTGCAATAGGATTAGGGTTGTAAAAGTCTGGAACCAACCAGAAAACTAGAGGACAGAGCTGAAGCAACACACAAGTAGTCATAGAATCATAGAATCCCAGAGTTGGAAGGGGCCACACTGGCCATCTAGTCCAACCCCCTGCTCAATGCAGGATCAGCCTAGAGCAGTGGTTCTCAACCTTCCTAATGCCACGACCCTTTAATACAGTTCCTCATGTTGTGGTGACCCCCAGCGGTGTCTCGGTTCCTAAGATAGGGGTGCCAAGTCGGGTGGGGGATCGCATCTGTGATGTCCTCCTTATTAGGGAGAACTAGTTTCACTTTAAAAGTTCACTTTATTTTTCTTTACTGGGTAGATTCTGCTGCCACCAGGAAATTTTAAGGATTTCCAAACCTTTATGCTTTTACTTTGGCTCTTACTAGTTTGGTAGACCGAGTTTAAAGCTTACGAGGAACTATGTGGTCCTGAGAAGTATTTCATTCAGAGCTGGTATAAACTGAAATAAAAGAGGATTTATTGAAATAAATACTAAATAAGAGGGTGATACAGTGTAACTAGTAATGTGTAAATGATGTACAATTGCTTTGGTATCACACTCAATCTTTTCCCTCACTGACAGGGATCTTTTCATGTAACTTTGTACCACTTGTTTATCTCAATGCCATATATGTTCACTGTTTTCTCCAGTTTGTTATGACACTCAGACTTTCCTTTAATTGTTGTTCACTTAAACTTTACTTTACTTTTTCCTATACATTCAGCTTTCAGCTCTCTTTCCCACTGAACAACCGCAGCTGGTCCTTCTCTAACTGCTTCAACACCCAGAACTAACTGAACACATCAACTGTCAACTTGTAACTCAAAAACCTGACTGACTCACATACTCATCCAACCACATTCACTTCCAAAGCCCCTCCCCCTCTCTGTCAACCACCAATCATACCACACTTGCCTCTCTCAACCGTTCTAGTCTATCTACCACAGCCATGCAACCAAACTTTTAAAGAGACACACTGTCATGACCCCAAGAGGGGTCTTTGGGTTTCGCCGCCACCACCCTGGAGTTTCGGGTCCCTCGGGAGTCCCAGGGTAGCTCCCAAGCCCTTGCTAACCGAGTGTTACAGGTGTGAATGACCCAGGCGGACACCAACCAAATCACACAGAACAGGGTTTATTAGGAAAATTGGGCAACTGGATAACAGGGGGAAAGGTCAAATGAAAATAAACTAACGCAACTGCCTTACTTGGCTTTTCCTATCAGGCCCCAGCTTGCCTAACTCACTCAGGCTCCTCCTTCTCCCAGCCCAGCCTGTCTCTCACGAGACCCAGCCGCAGGGAGGCAAAGGACTTAGAATCTTCTCTCTGACTCTCCCAATGCCTTCTGGGAGTTGTAGGCCTAGCCGCCTCCTACTGCCACCCAGGCCTCTTAGGCTGGCTAGGCCGTACTGGCACAGGCCAGATCATGACACACACACACACACAAAAACAAGGAATCATTACAGCATCTCTTTGCAGAATCCCTGCCGCGGGGACGGCGAGACGCGTTGCACCCGCCGTCGCCAGGACATGACGCTATGCGTCGCTCTGGCAACGGGGCTCCAAACAGCGTCTCGCCGTCCCCGCAGCAGGTATTCTGCAAAGAGATGCGATCCCCCGCCGCGATTTGGCGAGACTTGGGAGCCCTATCCTAAGACCATCGAAAATGTGTGTTTTCCGATGGTCTTAGGCGACCCCTGTGAAAGGGTCGTTCGACCCCCAAAGGGGGTCACGACCCACAGGTTTAGAACCGCTGGTCTAGAGCATCCCTGACAAGTGTTTGTCCAGCCGCTGCTTCAAGACTGCCAGGGAGGGGGAGCTCACCACCTCCCAAGGCAGCTGATTCCACTGCTGCACAACTCTGACTGTCAAAAAGGTTTTCCCTAATATCCAGCCGGTACCTTCCCGCCCTGAATTTAAACCCATTCTTGTGCGTCCTCTCCTCTGCTGCCCACAGGAACAGCTCCCTGCCCTCCTCCAAGTGATAGTCCTTCAGATACTTAAAGAGAACAATCCTGTCCCCCCTCAACCTCCTCTTCTCCAGACTAAACATTATAAAATAGTCACATGACACATTAAACAGTCCAAATATTACACAGTAGGATCCTTCTTACAGTATGCTGGTTATAAGGACTTGGAGATCTCCGTTCCATTCCATACCGGACTTGAATCTTGTCTTCTGCTGCAGACCAGATACTAGAGGGGTCAGGCATTCAGCCGCCAGACGCACATACGTTGGGAGGCATCTTTTTTAATAGTAGGCTCTTCTGTAGCACTTCTACCGTGCCAATTGCTTTGGGAAATCCTTTCCTTGTTCGTCGAGCATTCTAATCCTCCTCAAACGCCTGCTCTGTGAGTAATTGTTCAAATTCTGGCATCCAAGGATAATTCTTGGCTAGTAAGAGAAGAAGAAGAAGACTCAGGGGTGCCGCATGACGGAGGGAGCTCCCGTCTCTAGTTCCAGCTCCTGCCAACCTAGCAGTTCGAAAGCAAGAAACTGCAAGTAGATAAATAGGTACCACTTCGGTGGGAAGGTAACAGCGTTCTGTGCACCTTGGTGTTTAGTCATGCCGGCCACATGACCACGGAAATGTCTTCAGACAGCGCTGGCTCTTCGGCTTTGAAATGGAGATCAACACCGCAGCCCTAGAGTCAGATTCGACTGGCTTTTGAGCAAGGGAACCTTTACCTTTTTAAGAGAAGAAAAGCTCAAAATCCCATCTCATTCTTGCGCCTTTGCGTTCCCTGGGTCATCCAACACACCGAGGATGCAGGCCTTTGAACTAGGATTTGAACTCAGCTCGAAGACCAGGGTTTTGGTCACTGGTCCAAAATGGCTTTCCTGGATAATCTACATGTGACCTTTAGAAAAGGACTTTACCTATATGGAGGTTGGAGTGATTTCATGTAACCTCAGTAGAGTTGTACATTTAGAGCTGTGCTTATTTCTCCTTCTGCCAATGAAACCTAACAGCTACTTAGAATTCACATAAGAAATCAGTCAATAAAAGTTCCTCTACCAGCTTCAGTAAAAGCAGCTCAGTGTGTTAAAATCATTTCAGACTAGCCAAGGCAACCTTGATCTTCCCAAACTTCTGGATCCTCTTCCCCAAAATAAACTGTAATAGAGGAGACTTGCAGTAACGTTCTAAGCAGAGTTACACTCTTCTAGGCCCATTAGCTTCAATGGACTTAGAAAGGCATAACTCTGTTTTGGACAGCACTGTAAATCATGAACAGCAAAGAGAAAATCTCCGAAAATGGAAATCTATTATTTCCATGATATTACATGGAAAAATAACTGCCATGTTTCTGTCATTTGTTTTAGCCTGAGAAAGCTTTAGAAGTTTATGAAGCAGCTCAGAAGAAAAACCCCTTGGACGCAGCCGTGGCACGGAAAATTGGGCAGGCCTATGTGAACACCCATCAGTACAACAAGGTTGAGAAACAGAACATTTTCCCCACTGAGTCTTAGTCAGAAACATGCAGCATACTCTTATCTAGATCTCCCCAATAAATAGAGCCTTGGCGTGTCTATGGGCTTTTCTGCAATCTCATATTCCTCGCTTGTAAATTCCTGTTTCTTCACGGGGGGGGGGGGGGTTTTTTGTTTCCGTTTATGTTGGTCTCTCTCACTGCGCAGTCGATTCAATATAACCCCGGTTTATGTCTGGCATAAAATCCTGCAGTTTAAATCTGCAGGGAGATATGCTGGACATAAATTTATATGAAATCGACCACTAGAGGAAGCAAAACACATGTTGAACGGGGAGGAGGGGGAACCCTGAAGAAACAGGAACTTACAACCCAGCAAAATGAGATTGCGGAAAATTCCTGTGTTCAGGGGCATGATCTGCTTGGCTCCAGAGCTACAAGGGCCAAGCAAGGCGTGTGTGCCTTCTTTCAAGTGGAGACAACTCGGATGTCAGTTTCATTGGATGAAAACAAAACAAATAGAGATAAGCTACCCAAACAGGCTCAGAGGTTAAGACCCTGAGCTGCAGACTGGAAGGTCTGTAGCTCAGCAGTTCGAGACCCGAGTGCCGCATGACGGAGTGAGCTCCCATCTCTGGCCCCAGCTCCTGCCCCCCTAGCAGTTCGAAAGCAAGAAATTGCAAGTAGATAAATAGGTACCGCTTCGGTGGGAAGGTAACAGCGTTCCGTGCGGCTTGGTGTTTAGTCATGCCGGCCACATGACCACGGAAACGTCTCCGGACAGCGCTGGCTCTTCGGCTTTGAAACTGAGATGAGCACTGCCCCCTAGAGTCGGATTTGACAGCCTTTCGAGCAAGGGAAACCTTTACCTTTACCCAAACAGCAGAACTGTATGCTGCAACTTTCACTGGACTGTATCTTCTATCTAGACAACAGATTGGAGATGCATGTTTGAATGCACTCTTCTATATGAGGAGTTCCCAGTGCAGTGCCTGTGGTTGCCATTGGTGCCCACCAAGTGTTTTTAGAAAGTGGGTGGGGTCAGGTGGGGCTCTTGCCCAGCATGTTATCTGATTTGCCACTTAAAATGCAGCTGTCTATGCAGATTAAAGTGGCATTGTTTCAGTGGCAGTGGCACACGCACAGTGGCACACAGAACATTGTGTGCTTTATTCTCTCTCCCGCCTCTTCTTACCTGTAGTTAGCCTTCTTCTCTGTGTGCAGCTCCATCTCCTGCGGCAGCCATTTTGTGATTGGCTCCACCTTCTGTGTCAGCCATTTTGTGGTCACTCCCACTGCCCCATGTCAGGCTCAGGAAGGTTGGGCACCCCTGCCCTATATAGTCCCTCTATAAAACATCCTGCCAGGAAGAAGGTTCCAGCTGCACCTTCTCCCCAGCTTGGTAGCTATCTCTCTGCAGGAAGTATCTTCATATTGGGGTAGGGTTGCCAAGTCTATCTTCGAGGGAGCGGGGGGCTCCTGGCTGGCGTCTTGTGTGTGCGTGCGAAGCGCACGTGCGCCGCACACACATCACCTGGAAGTGATGGGAGGACGCCAGGCACGCCGTGGCCCCGCCCCCAGCGTGCCCGCATCACTTCCGGGTGACGGGCACATCGGGGTGGAGTTCCCCCTGGGGCCCGATCCGGCGGCGCCGGGGAACGGGTCTCTGGGGCGGGGGTTTCCCCGCCCCCCGGGGGGGCTTGGGATCCCTATATTGGGGAGCATTAAAAACTTCCATGAAGTGGCCCGCAACCATGTGATCCTGTTTATGTATCTTGTCCGAAAAGCACATTGCTTCCATTGTTCATTAATCTGTTGACGTGTATCGATTTGCGACAGGCCATCAATTACTATGACGTCGCTCTCAAAATGAGTGAGCAGGACTTCTTGTGTCACGATCTGGCTACTCTCCTCTTGAAGATGAAGAAGTTTGGCAAGGCCGAGAAGGTTCTAAACCAAGCCCTGGATCATGACCCTGGTAACATTTCTGGTTTCTTGGATTCTCTCTCGGGAGCATTCACTTTGTCTTAAGGCAGAAGAAATCTTAAATAGTCAGCTTGTGAGGTAGCCCTGGGCAGATCCTGCAGGGGGGGGGGGTTGGACTAGACGACCTGGATAGCCCTTCCAACTCTGTGACTCTGTTACACAGGGCAGTCCTGGCTGGCTGCTTTTCCTGAGCAGATATTTAATAACCCCTCTCCTTACAAAGCATTTTAAATGATTGTAAGAAGCTGAGTTGATTTGCAGACTTTTAAAAAACATCGTGTAATACCTTTTATTAGGATCAACCCTAATATCACAAAAGACTGAGCAAGCAGTGTAGAGTTCTCCTAGGGTTGCCAACTCAGGTTTGGGAAATGTCTGGAGATTTGGAGGTGGAGCCTGGGGAGGAACCTCAGCGGGGTACAATGCACCCTCCAAAGCAGCCATTTGCTCCTGGAGAACTGATCTCTGTAGCCTGGAGGTCAATTGTAATTCCAGGAGATCTCCAGGCCCAGCCTTAAGTTCTCCAAATCCCTTCATCAGGATAGATGTTTAAAAATGAAAGGGTGTGTGTGGAGAACATGATGATGTTTCAGGGCATGGTGGAAAGGCTCTAGATCTGCATTTTGTAGTGTCTAAGCCCCAGGGGTCTTCAACCTTTTTGAACTTGTAGACAACTTTGGAATTCTGGCACAGCATGGTGGGCACTGCCACAAACTGGCTGCCGCAGCTTACTTTCAATAAAGACCCTTGTGCTATGATAGTAGCTGCTGACAAGGCAACATTTTTAAAAATCTGCTCAGACAATCAAATCTCCAGTGGCCAACCAGAAGCCTTGCTGGGCAAAAGTCCCACCTGGCCCTGGCCACTTTCTAAACACACTTGGTGGGCACCTGGAAAAGCGCCATGGCACCCACAGGCACCACGTTGGAGACTCTTGATCTAAACCCATCGATTTGTATAATGATGTTAGTTTTGATCTTCCAGTTGATGATGTGCCCTCTATGATGAAGGATGTCAAGAACCTAATGTTATTAGCCAAGGTTTATATGGTGTATGGTTTATATGGAAAGAACGTTCTGGAAACTTTGAACAAGGTGAGCATGCTGAACTTTATGCAAGTTTCATGTCCTGCTGGAGGTGGTTCCAAGTCAGTTACCAATATATATGCCAATATATTTTAGGTTTTTCAGAATCGCTGAAACAGCCACCTCTAAGGTACAGACTAGACATGCTTATTTTTAAAGAGCTGGGTCTGTGTTCCCTAGACACATCTTTGGTTCTCCACAGCCACACAGCAGTTGTGGGGAATGGCTTTTAAAAAAACAAAGCAGAAACCATTTGTGCTTAGAACTAGGGATGTGCATTCGGCTAAGTCGAACCAAATAAATACCCAACAAATACCTTAAATTTTTTCAGGTGTTTATTCAGCAAACCGATAAGGTATCTCGAATAAAAGCCGATGACCTTATCCCCTCCCTTTTGTCTCTAGAGTTGTGCCACAGAGTCAGCACACTCCCTGCGATGGCTTTCCATCTGGCTGGCACTCCTGTTTCTCCTGCCGCCCCCCCATGAGGCAGTGGTATATTTTTGGCAGTCCCATTGCCATCTCATTGATTATAGGTTACTATTGCTGTATTTATAATATGGATTTTAAATATGATTTTACTATGTATATGTTTTTATACTGGTGTACACTGCCCTGCGCCCTGTTCCACAGGGAAGGGCAGTTTAAAACTTGAACTTAATAAATAAATATATAATAAATAATACCTGTCTCATGTTCACATGCTAGTGTGGGTGTACCTAACACTGCCCTGTCTTTGTTCATTTTTTGAGGCCTCTGACATTCAGCAAAGAATACTGAAGCGAATCCGGGTCGAACAGCCTGAACTGATCCTTCCTCAGAAACAAGTAGCTTTGGCAATCTACATACAGTATGCTGAATTCTACAAAAAGGAGAAGAAGTATGAAGAAGCCGTGAAGTACTATATCGATGCCCTATCCTTTGTTCCCACTGACAGTAAAGTAAGTATAAATATCGAATCTCTGTGACAAACACATGATAAGGGTGCCAGTACCAGGTTTAGGCAGAAGGTAGACTGCAGTCCACCGATGGGCCACTAACCAGTTTCTAATTGGATCCCTAGAGCCCGTTGTTTGCTGGGATTCTTGGTTTGATCCTGAAAAGCATTTCTTGTGTCCTTAAGCAAGAATGCAGACTCTGGGTCACTTAACACAGATTCAGATATGCTTTGAATGGTACGAGATCCTGAATATACATTTTCGTTTTGTAAATCTCAAAGGCACCAGTGGACCATAAGGATTCTAATCCAAAAAAGGCAGAGACTATGCAAGATTTAAGTTAGCCCAGTCTGTGCAATAAGCCTGCACCAATTTGACTTTCCTGGCTGTCAGTCAGAAAGACAGAAGCTAGGGTTCTGTGTTTCAGGGCTAAAGATCCCTGACAGAGGGGTTTTCTGCATTCTCATTTTCAGGGTTCTTTTTGTAGCAGGAACTCCTTTGCATATTAGGCGACACCCCCCCCCCCAATGTAGCCAATCCTCCAAGAGCTTACAGAGCTCTTCTTACAGGGGCTACTGTAAGGTCTTGGAGAATCGGCTACATTAGGGGTGTGCCGCCTAATACGCAAAGGAGTTCCTGCTACAAAAAGAGCCCTGTTTTCCCTTGCTTGTGTGTTCCTGTTACTTCTGGAAGGGGGGCAGTCTGTTCCACACATGTTTTGCTCCCTCTAGTGGTCAAGCCAATATGACATTGGTTTATGTCAGGCATATCTCCCTGCAGATTTAAACTGCAGGTTTTTATGTTGGACATACAGCAATGCAATATTGAATCAATCATTAGAGGGAGCAAAACACGTGCAGAACAGAACCACACGCACCCTGCAAAGCAATAGGAACACACGGGGAAGGAAAATGAAGATATGGAGAAGCCCAGGATTCTCTACACCTCCCCGAAATGACGATCACCAATATTCCATTGCTAATTGTGTTTCCATTGTATTTCCAGGTAGTGCTAGAATTAGCTCGCCTGCATTTGATGCTAGGAGAGATGGAGCAGTGCGAGCATTATTGTTCTCTTCTGCTTCAAGACGACCGCAATAGTGAAATTGGAACAATGGTATACTTTTGTCATTCCTTAAACAAAAAGTGAATTGTGTTGCTGTTTTTTACTGTCTTTTTTTTACTTGTTCTTTGCAAGTCACCACAAAAAGGCAACAAGAAAAGCTTCTGGATTAAAACTCAGGGGTTTCTGCACTGAACACAAGGAGTGGAGGGCAGGAAATGCACAACGGCCTTGATACGTATCTCAGGCCATGTTAGCAGTGTTCCCTCTAAATTGAGTTAGAGTGAGCTAGCTCAGTTTTTTATCCTCCAGCTCACACATTTTTGTCTCAGCCCAGGACGGATGGCTCCAGAGCAAACTAATTAATGCAGGAGCCAAATGGCTTGCTCACAACTTTAATGCCAGTAGCTCACAAAGTAGAATTTTTGCTCACGAGACTCCACAGCTTAGAGGGAACATTGATTATGAGTGAAATCAATAGTTGAAGAGCAAAATCCAAGTAGCTTTGAAATAATTTGTATACGTTCTCTACTATGCCATTTATAGTTAAGCTAAATCACTTCTTGACCTCTGTGAACTTGAGAGTGGGGGAAAAGGGTCTTGCCTTCTCTCAGATAACTTGCAATATTTTCCACGGCGATAACTTTGCATGGTTTACCGTTGCTGCTGCAGCTGCCAATACAGTACAGTGGCAGCGGGGCTTCCCCATGGCAGGTTTCCATGCAGTTTCCCTGCCCCAGTCCTCCAGCAGTGGCCATTCCCCATCTTCCATGCTACAGGAGCTGTTTTAAGTGTTTATCTATCAGTAGTTGAATATCATTCTAATGTTTGTTGATCAGGTTCTCTGCATTCCCTGCTTTCATTTAGAGAAAAAAGTAAGTCTCTATCCTCTTTTGTTGCCTTTCCTTTTATATCTCTGCAATGAAAAGGACTGAAGACTTTTTTCAAAATGAAATCTGGGAATTCAGAGAACTAGTACACAGACTGTTATAATGTTCCCCTGATATAATGATATTCAATTACTGATTAAAAAACAACTCCCCCTACATTGGCTTGGGGGTGCGGAAAAACTCCCAAACTCTGCTGTGAATGTAACTTCCCCATCCATGTGTGGTAAAATACCCTCAGCTGGGTGCCACTAAGCAGGCTGGGATACTAGCCAGGCCTCTGATGGGGAGCCAGAGGAAACAGCAAAGCCACAGGATTTGTGGGGCAATTTGATGCTCAGTGCAGATCAATGAAGGCAGCTTAAAGGTGGAGAATGTCCTACATGGACAGCACCTTTGAACAGTGAAAAGTGTGCAAGACCACATGTAGATTATTCATGTGTGTCAGCTGCACATACACACACAGATATACACAATGTGTTCATTCACACGAGGCAGCTAAAGCACATGAACATGCCGCAACATGTCACAGATGTTAGTTGATACATGATTTGCGCAATTCTTTCAATACACAATGATGTTCCAGTGACTAAATGGCAGTTCTTTGCAAAGCATTGATCCCCGTTGCACTGCATGTGAAACGTTTGCTCTTTTGCTAGATGATGGCAGATCTTCTGTTTAGAAAGGAGGAGTATGACCAAGCCATACATCTTTACCTAAATGTTCTGGAGAAAACGCCAGGTATTTATGATTAAAGGACAAGTGTGTGTACACATGGACAAGTGCCGAAAGACAGGTTTTTGGTGCCAGTGGTATAAGCGGGCAGCTCCTCTCTCTTTGCTGAGGGCAATTTAGAAGCGAACACCCTTCATTTAATAACACCCCAGGAGTTCATATGCCAGACAACTTGATCAAAATTATTATTATTTCTTAGATTTATGAATCGCCCTATCCCAGAGACAGTTTGGTGTAGTGGTCAAGTGCGCGGACTCTAATCTGGGAGAACCGGGTTTGATTCCCCACTCCTCCACTTGAAGCTGCTGGATGACCTTGGGCAAGCTTGTCTGGACCAAAGGACAACCCCTCTCTCATTCTCAGGCGCTGACCCACAGCCACCTGAGCTCTCAGAGTCTCACCGGGTCCTGGTCCCTTGTTAAGGTTCCTATGCTTCCAGGTCCCCTTTGAGGATGTACATGGATATTCAGCAAGCACTCCTGATGCAGCAAATAAAAGAAAATCTCTCTGCATTTATTTAAATTGTTCAAATGATGAAGAGTGTTTGCTAGGCAGAAACCACTCGGAATCACAGGATTAACAGCACAACAGTAATACTTCACTTATGCTGGGCAGCACCCTGGGCTCTGGAGATCCAACTGCTCACAGGCTCCCCTCGGTAAGGCAATCCAAGAGTTCCTTATCTCACCCATAGGCTTAAGTCACAGAGTCCATTCAGACAGAAGCAGTCCTTTAGGAACTCCTCCTAAAACATCTCCTGTTCTCTTGTCCATTCCTGGGAATGCTGTGCAGCACGGTCCCAACACATTGTTTTACTTCCAGCTGACCCCATCAGAATATTGTTTGAGGAGGGCAGCCTCATCCAGCATGCCCTCAGGTAGCATTTTGGCCTCTAACCGGACACGCTCAGCCCCGCGGCACGTGTGTGTTTTTTCCTGGATCCAAACTGCACACCCAAGATGCTGGACATCTTGCTCTTCTCCCCGGACCTCTGATATTCTGGATTGGTAACTATGGCCCTTTCCGCATTTGCCTGCCACTCTGGATTTTCTCAGTGTTCAAGTCGAGGCGATTTAAGAGAGCCACTCTGGTGTCATGGTGAAGTGCGCGGACTCTAATCTGGGAGAACCGGGTTTGATTCCCCACTCCTCCACTTGCACCTGGCTGGATGACCTTGGGCAAGCCGTAGTTCTGATAAGAGCTGTCCTTGAAAAAAGAGCCGTTTCTGTCAGAGCTCTCTCAGCCCCGCCGACCTCACAGGGTGCCTGTTGTGGGGAGAGGGAGGGAAAGGAGACTGTAAGCCGCTCTGAGACACCTTTGGGTAGTGAAGGGCGGGGTATAAATCCAATCTCTTCTTCTTCTTCTTCTTC